CATACATTACAACCACACGCAGAACGGGGGCTGAATAAGCGCCACGAAAACAGACAACAGCAAAACAAAAACCAGCTGTGGGACAGAGCAAAAAGCGAATGAAGAAGAATACAAGAACCATCTGGCCAATGTTTATGTGTATATACAAAACATGTCAAGAGAAGCCAAGGCAAAAATTATTTTCACTCCACAATCGTTTTCCTTATGCCTAATCCTTCATTGGCTTCTCTTTGGCTTGGTTCCACCGCTCCCTACCGGCACCCCCTTATTTTTCTCTCTCGAACACTTTCATTGCTTTGTTGTCAGCTCTGGCTCTCCTCAACCCCATCACTCACTTTTTCCTCTCCTCGGCTCCTTTTATACTATGCATATTTTTGATCTTGTTGTTGTCGTTTGTGTGCATCCGTGCCTTCAGACTGCAAGGCAAAGAAGTTGGTTACTTGAAAGTCCATGTACCTCAATTGTTTCTTCTCCCTAACGGATACGTATACACCAGACTTTTTTTTCATTTGTGTGTGGTCTTTTTTTTTGGTATCGCTTCCCTCTCATTGATCTTTGATTCCTGTACGGGCGGGCGGTGTCCGGTACAAAAGCTTCTTAAGGTGGTTGTTTTCTTGCATTTTCTTTTCCAGCTGATGCAAGTAGTTCTGGTGCTGTTGTTGGAGTTCATCCATGAGTTCACCCATCTCGAGACTCTTGTTGAACTTCAGGTCCTCCAGCTGCTTTGTTGTCATGTTCAACGCGTTGGCGTACTTCATGAGACTTGCCTCCATTGCCTGAATCACCCCCTCCTTCTCCAACACCAACATGTTTTTGCGTACCACGTTGGTGTTGAGCATCTCTTTGTTTTTGTAAACGAGGCGGTAAGTGTGAATCGGAATCGTCTCGTCCTTCGGTAGAATACTTAAGACGTCTTCAGGTTCCTCGCGTGAGGCAGAAGGCACCAACGCAGACTTGGATACGTTGCGTTGATATTCCTTCTCCAACTTCATTTCCCGCAGGGACTGCATAATGGTGTCCAGGCGGGCATGCAGTTGTTGCTGACGTTTAAGTTGGGCCCGGGTGACATTGTCTTGGCCGCGGCACACCGCCTTCATCTGCGCTACAGCGTCCTTTAAGAATAACTTGTCAGTCTCCATGTATTCTATGGAAACATTGGACATCTGGTTTTCAAACAGGGTTAAAGCCATGTCGTCCTTCTGGCTGCGTTTGCGCAGTTCTTCAAGTCGGAGTTCCAGCTCACGACATTCGCGCTGCTTCACACGGACGTTGTTGTGGGCGTCGTTCAGGGCAGCATCGAGGTCCGCCCGCTTCTGAAGCTCCGCTTCGAGGCCCCGTAGGTAGGCTTCTTTCCTTTTGATAATTGTATGCGCGGCACGCAACTCGTTCTTGACGGTCACCTCAAGTTGTGACATCTCCTTGACGTCGGATGCCGCCTGCATCACTTCCTCCTCGCTTAGTGAGTACTGCTCGTGCCAGCCCGTCTTGTCAACCAAAGCCTCGTAGGCATTGGTCTCCTTCAACAAAAACTTGGAGCGATCATCCAGCAGCTTTTGCTGCGTAACGTTCTCCTTGGCGAGGAGTTGGTTCCGGCGCCTCGCGATCTTGAGTGTGTTTTCCAGACGTGTGATGGTGTCCAGCGCGTCCTCAGCCGAAATACTCGCGGGGTCGCGTTCACAGGCAGTCTGAAACTCGACGATTTGCCGTGAAACATCGTCGCCGTGGTTTTCGCTCTCAATGGACGCTATCGCACCGTTGATGGTGTCAAGCTGGAGGGCGTACTCCTCAATGGCCGCGTTCATGCGATCCAGCTCCGCCTGCAGTTCATGGGCCCCGTTTTGCTCCGTCATTTTCGTTTTACGTTTATTTTTTTTCTTCCTTTTGCGCCCAGTGGGGGGAAAAAAGAAAAAAAGGAGAAACGAAGAAGAGGGGGGAGGGGAGGAGATATATACATATATATATACAAAGTACGTTGGTGCGTGTGTACAGCCTTGTCCCTCCGCCCGCGGTTGCGGTTGGGGAGAAGAAGGGGAAAGGGGCTCACGCGGGTGCAGTTGTCGTGCTCGTGCCGCGACGTCATGCCGCTCACTGCGCCGCGGCTGATCCCGCACTCTCCCTCCCTCTGGCCTCAGCGGAGCCCCCGCCGCCCCCCGCAGCTCCGCGCGTCGGCAGGCGTCATGGGGCGCTGCAGCCAAAGACAAGGCGGGCAACGCGGGAGCGGCGACGAGTACAGCAGCCGCAGCGGCGGCAAGGATAGAGGAAGAGAGAGAGGAGGAGGAGGAGGAGGAGGAGGAGGAGGAGGAGAGGAGAAACAAATAACTAAAGACTGCGTGTGGGAAAAGCGTTTGCTCAACTAGGCGGCATTGAGAGCCTTACAAGCCGCACGAGGCCAGAAAGTCAAACGCTTCCATCGCTGGAACAGCCGCGCCCGCTGCCGCTCACGCCGCAAATCGCTCAAAATACTCTCAGAGAGGCGTGCACGACACGCGTGCTCGTACCGCCCCTTCCAGCGCCGAAAACACCCCATCAAAAGCACCAGCTCACGCAACGTTTCTGCGACACATGTCATGGCCCGCTGATTTTGCTCGCGCGCCGCGACTTCGCGCCAATTCAACAGCACGCGTCTCTTCTTGGCTGCCGCCAGTCGCCTCCGTGCCCACCTCAGCCTTGCACGCCACCACCACTTGGCGTAGCACGCATAAAGGGTTTGCTGTCGGTAAAAGAGCCTACAGGCAGCCTGCTTGCGCCACAGCAGTACGACACGTCGCTGCAAGCATTGCCGTCTCCAACACTGCGACTGCGCATTCTGCAAACGCAAGTCCAGTCGCCGTCGCCAGCGGCACCAGCATGCCGCGGTCACGAAGGAGGTGACCCGTTTTCGTCGAAGCGCCTGCAGCCACGTCTCCATCGCGCGAACAAGACGGCGGAAGACAAAGAAACGGTCCGACAACCGGTTCCGATACTTCGCACGCCATTGTGCAAGCGCGACTTTTCGCAGTCTCCCCTGCGCAATCCGTTGCGCACACTGAAGCTTAAACACCGCGAACTCCGCCCGCTGCGCCGCCACGTAAACGATGGGCGGGCCGCATGCTAAAGGAGTCTCCAACTCCGTGCGCTGTTGCCTGGCGGAGACGTAGCGATGGAGCAGTTCATTCCACGCCTGTCGCAGCAAAAGGCGCCTAGACATCCACTCAGCCAATCGAAGGTCTAGCCGATGTTCTGTCTTTCTTTTCCAATGGGAGAGAACACGGTCTTTGATAGCGAACACAGCGGCGGGCTGACCGACTTGAGCCAGCTCCACATACTTGTGCCTCCTGCGCATGTCCGCCGCTCGCACTTCCATGCCGCTCAGGAGGCGGCAAACATCTAAACGTTCACGCCAGCGCAGGAAGCAGTGTCGCAATCTACGGCGTCGGACACCCACAAATGCGCAACCTCTTCTCTTCAAACTTGCACGGAAGCGACGCAAACATTCTTGCGTCTGTCGTCGTCGCTCCACGACGCCAACCCAATGAAGTACGACATCATAAAGTAGTCTTCGTCGATTATTGTTGGCCTCCCGCGCAAACACGGACCACGCCCGCAGCACACGACGAAGGCGATAGTACGCGTACCTAAGCTCACACTCCGCGTGGAGAAAACGTCGCCGACGCGCCGCCAAACGAAGGCGCAGTAAAAAGGCCGACATAATAGCTCTCTCCCGAGACGACTGTAGCAAAACTAGAGCAACGGATGGAATCGCCTCGCCCTCAGTTCCCCCCAGCGGAGTTACTGGCGGCACGGCCTCCATCTCCACCTCTTGACGTGCCTCTCCAAACGCCTTCCGGTAGAGCTCCCGACTGAGTCGGGCTTGGTCCAGCCCTCTTGCGGCGCCTTTCATGTGCTGCGCCGTAGCAGCAGCACCAGCAGGAGCAGCAGCAAATTCTTTTCTGGGCTGCAACGCATGATGATGTCGAGGCTGCGGCACAGCAACCTTCACGCGAGGCGCCGGCACAGCAGCTGTCGTGACTGCGGAAGGACCCTTCCCCAGCAAAGGGAGAGAATGGTGCTGCGTGACGTACCGCCACACCGCACGCAGCATCAGACGCGTCATTCGCTTGATGCGCTCCTCTGCCTCTCTCAGACGATCCTGCAACCCCTCCAAGTCGTCATCCACGCACATGAAAGACAACAACAAAATAAATTGCGCTCTATTTTCTATGGAAAATGAGGAGGTGCCGGCACCTAAACGGAAGAGTACAGAAATGGTGCGCCGTCTGTCTTTGCCCTTACCCCTTCCTCTAAAGGCCCTCTGTACTACGCCTTGAAAAACACCCACAGACACATACACACGCGAAAGAAAGCAAGAAGTTGGCTTTCCTGTCGCCCCGTCTCCTTCCTAGACGTATACCGGCTGCATTCTCATGGGTGGCTTCCACTCCACACAGCGAAACCAACTCCCATCACTTGCTGCCCACACGCAATTGCCCCGCAATGCCCACTTTACCTCACTCAGTTCCGAAAGTCATAATAATACATGTCATATCAAAATGAACGAAAAAATTAAAGATGAATCTGAGAGTCCCCGCAGCAGCTTGAGGGGCCATCCACGACATTTTGGCTTTCACCAACGCAGGCCGGCAACGACGCAAAAGCAAGAAAAGATCCAAAGAGTAGAAACTTTTACGAGACGAATTCCAGGAAAGCGTTCGATACGACGCTCCATTCCCTCCAGGAGATACCTGAAACTCAAGGCACAAGAGACCATCAACCCTCATTTTGGGTATCAGCGCGCAGCCGAAGAGGCACTTCGTCGTGCGCTGGTATTCGTCATCGTCTTGTCGTAGAATGGCGGGAAAACCACCGGGGACGCAAAATTTACCTCACGCGGAAAGGAACGCCACGCAGTGATCCAAGAGGGTGATTTTAAAAAGGGCGGCGCGTTTTCGGCGACCAAATTCAACTTATACACCACCACGCGCTCCGTGGAGGCATTCGCATCCATGCCAATCATGAGGTGCGGGCTAAACAACACAACCGTGCCGGGGCCAATTGCGTCGCCGCCCTCGACGGGACCCCCCACAACACTGCTGTCAAACCTAAACCGCTGAAGCTGCTCTGGAATGTGCGACTCCATCGGCAAAAATGGGAGCGACAGATCACCCGGTGAAACCTGCGTCAAATACTGCTCCTGTACAAAACGATGGGACCCCCTCAAGAGAAACATAGGCATCGTCTGCCTGTCGGGGCGGTGCGTAAAGACAAGCAAGGAAACAGCAAGCGGCTGTTTGCCGCTCAACCTCACACCAATCGATGGGGCAGTGCAGTGATACCCAAAGGGGCCTCCGTATGGCTCTCGAAACATGGGAGCATCCGAAAACAAGACGGGACGCTCAACGCCGCCAACCTCAGTGGCAATGTTGCCGATAGGTTCCCAAAAGGAAGCGTCTCGCACAATGCTTTCTAGTTCCTTATTCGTCATCCAGACGTTACAGCGGTACTCGTTGATGGCCCTCAGCATCTGGGGGTCGTTGTAGATAGTCGACTGGCACCCCTTACCCGAAATCTTGACAACCTCCTTTGCCAGTATCTCGCTTAATTTCCACAGTTCTTCACCTGTAAGATCTTCCTTCTTTCGACCATTCAAAAACTTTGCGGCGACCTCCGTTAGAAGTTTCCGTCGCCGCTTTTCCGCGCGGTACAGACGCATCATGTACTTTCGCCGCTGCAACCGTGCCATTACTTTTGTGTAGAGCGGATCCGAGAGTTTTGCCTTGGACTTGAGCATCGACTCAATATCGGGGACCTCGAGTAAATAACGGGCGCGGGCCACGGTGGACGCAGTCAGTGCGGGTCGAAGCCGCTCAACAATGGAGGTCCCCACCGCCGCAGGAAAAATGGCGTACCCGTGCTGAAGAAAGTGCTGTCGTGCCGTGGCGAAAAACGGAGTATCCCTCATGCCTTTTGTAGCTGGTCCGCCCTCGTGGCGAGCAGAGCGGTACAACAGCCACATAAAAACAGGCAAACGCAGAAAGCAAAAAAGGGGGAAAAAAACTGGACATTAAAAAAGGGGGAGGGGAAGACCGCTGCATGAGGACGGCATAATTTGTTAACAATGGTCAGCGTAAATACAGCTGCCGACACGGGGCTGGGGAAAAAGAAAGCCACGAGAAGGCAAAAAGAAAAAAAGCACACACACACACAGAGAGAAAGAGAGAAAGGTGCGTATAAATGAAGAGGAAAAGGAGACTCTTCCGTTGCCCTTCAATCCCTTCATCGTTCAACTGTTCGTATGCACGTATTCACCTCAGCTGGTCGGTAGTGTGAAGAGTTCAGCCTCATTGAGCTTTAATTTTCCTTGCTTCAGAAACATACGAAGAAGCTTCTTCATGTCATCAAGCGTTCCCGGGAATTGGCCGAGCATTTTTATGCTGTTGAATATATCGTTCGCCCCGCAAGGTCCCCGCGCCTTTAGCATCGCTGTCATCATTGAAAGCAACATCTTAACTTGATCCGGCGATAGTCCCGCGGGCTGCCCCTCACTTTCTTCCGCCTCGGCAAAGGTGAAGTTCGACGTCGATACGTAGTTTGTTTGCAAGGACAAACTCCTGTTTCCGTCGGTGGAAACGAGCACAGATGGAAAGAGGTGCGATAAACGCTGCTGCAGCACATGCGGTTTGACTTCCATACGCTCTGCCACAGCCGTCAGAGGGGCGGGGGAGCCGAGTTCCAACGCGATGTCACGAACGTACAGTACAAGCGATGCGGAGAAGAGCGAGAGGTCGTACGTCACCGCAACCAGCGTGTTCGTGGAGGTGTCCTTTTGTGTGAGCTCCAGGCTGACACGTCCCTGCGAGAGAATCCACTCAAGACGCTGATTCACCTTCATGCGCTTGTACTCCTCCACGACGTCTTCCATGGCGGGGGTGAATAGCGGGTGGGGGCTGTACCGCTCCGGCACCGGCCGTGTCTCACCTGCGGGAAGGCACACAGACAACTTTGGCCATGACGTGGTGGAGAGAATGTCGAGACTCAACGGCCAGTCCCTCCCTCGCCGTTGGGGTGTCACTCCCGCGGAGGCCCGTCCGTGCGCCTTTTTCATGTGCAGCGTATAGCGACGAGATGCCTGAATGTCGCGGATCATCACGACGCAGGGCGCCAGCACATCCTCACCAAAGGCGCACTTTAAGCGCTCCAACACTTCCTCCTCGGTCGTGGTGTCAAAGTCGTGCATCTTCTTCTCCAACAGCTGGAAGGCCAACAACTTCATGTACTCCTCCACAAGTGAGGTGACACTAATCGCAGACATCAACACCCGCAGCACATCAGGCCGCTCATGCATAGACAAGCAAGATTGGCTGGGGCCTGGGGATAGGTCTTCGTCGCTTTCCTCATCATCAGCAGTGGAAACCGAACTAAAGCTGTCTGGTGAGAAGTTATGCAGGCTTAAATTTAAAACAGAATCCGCGTTCGGTTGCGTGATTGCTTGAACCACAGCGGAGACGCAGTCCTTTCGCTTTTTGAGGTGCTCCAGCGTGTCGTCGACAATGGTAAAAATCACGGAACCCTGGTCATTCTTGGAAAACAATACACACAGGGAATGTATGGTGCCAATCAGAGTAGTGAGAATTTCTTCCGTGCGCGTGCCGGCCCTGTGGAGCTCGGACGCCAACATCTGCTTCGCTGTTTGTACCAATTCGTTCTGGAGAGTGTCGTCAGAGCACCGCCGGAGACACACGCGCAAATCCTTTAGGGTCGGTGTTGAGTCCGGGTACGCCATCACGACATCCCAAAGACTCGCGATCCGCTTGCGACCGTAACTAACAAGCAGCAGCTGCTCCAGTTCCTCGCCCCACCGATTGACTTCCGTGCGGCCATCCGAGTTGTGGGGGTCTGGAGATAACGCCATTCGAACAAAGGTGTCCACAACACCGTCCTTCCATCGCATGCAAGACCTTATCCGACGAGCAGTAAGGTCATCGTCCAGCAACTCAATACGCTCAAGTGTACACTCAACCAAGACCGATTTCCACAGCATCTTAATGTCTGGCGTCGATGATAGCGTAAGCTCGTGCAGATGCTCCAGCACCTTGTCACACTGCCACTGACTCCCACGCATGAGGGTGGCACGCCCCTCCATCCCCTCAATCTCGTCAAGCAATTTTCGCCCGTGGCCACGAAGAAACTGCAGGAGTACTTCTTTCTCAGGAGGACTCTCGTCTGTGAGAAGATCCGGCTGCAACAGATGACAACGCAGTGACACAGTGAACCCCGAGACAAACTCCATCGCATTTAGTTTCTTGCACCAGTGCTTAAGGTGCAGCAGGGTTTGTCTGTATGCCTTCTGTAGCGACTGCAACGCCAAAATTTCACGCCCGTCCCGCATATTCCTCTTGTACTCCACAAGGCTGGTGTTGGCAAAGGCCTCAAACACCTTCCGCACAACTAGCTCCCCCACAGTGGCGTTAAACGGCGGCGTTGCCAAAGCGGCAAGTGTCTCACTGTACCGACGCGCTTCAGCCACCCGGGTGTCGGCAAAAGCCAAAATGCCATCCCGGCGTATCACCTCTAAAAAACCAAATAAGTTCGCAAAAGCCTCCGTCTCACCCAGTGTTACTGTCTTCCCAACGGATAACTGCCCGGTGGACATTAACTCAGCACCTAACAACGTCCGAGTTCCCAAACTCTGTTTATACGAAGCCCGGCACGAGTGCCGCACATCATCGTACCATGCGTAGGCCCATCCCCCATGACAAGACGTGCAACGATAAAGGGAGAAAGAAAGGGAAAATCATGACGGTAAACAGCAAACAAGAAAAAAATATATATGAAGCAGCATGACAGTATACCATCGAGAGACGCAATGGATGCATGAACACTACCATAAATAAGAGTAAACGACCAGAAACAAGGAGATAAACATCGCCAAAGATCTGGGGAAAAGAAAAACAAAGAAAACAGAATCAGCAGCTGCTTTCCCAACCGACACATATTCTCTACGCCTGCAGCACCACGGCACCACCAGCCTTGCGAATCTTCTTGTCGGCAAGCTTGCTCACCCAGCGGGCCTTCACAATGCAAGGGGCCTGCAGGTGGCCATTGCCAAGCAGCTTCGAGTACCCGTTTGCCAGGAGATCAACAACGGGCAAGGCCTCTCCCTTCTTCGCCTTCAGCGCCTCATCCTTGGCGATCAACTTCGTGATGTTGTTCAGGTTGATCGTCGGCTTCCACAGAGCGTTCTTCTTCAGGTGGTAGTGGTTCATGCCGCACTTGCCGAAGTATCCGGGGTGTACTTGTCAAGTTGATGCGGTGGTGGTGCTGGCCACCGGCGTT